GACGATAACGCGGAGCCATATAGTTAATATTAGTAATACGCAGCATGCACGATACAAGGAAATGGTCAGTAACATCATCGCTTTGAGGTACGATATCTATATCAGTAAGATCAATTCCATGCGATATAATTAAATCTAGCGTATGATTAAAACGATGAGTGGGCCCGGTGACATTTTGCTTGACTCCAAAAGAGTTTATTAGGTCAGTAAACGCAAGTCCTAATGCATAATTTTGTTACTTAGTTACTTTTTATGGAAAGTAATGCATTGTTACTTTAAGCTGGGCTTGCTTATATGCTGTTTAATAACAACAACAACAACAACAAAAAAAGTTAATTTTTATTTTAATTTCCTCAGGCTGAAGGAAGTGCGCGTGTCTCTGCACTTACTCACGATTTCTCTCAAAACTCACGATCAGATTTTTTCTAGATCCTGCATTAAATTTATATTTTGACCTCACTATTCGGAGAACAGACACAGTCTTTATAGATTGTACAGCGCAAGTACTTCTATCATTTAAGCGGGTAGAACAAAAACCATCAGGGCAGGTATTTGAGATTTGACTTACTAGTCATATGGTGTGTAGCGTCTTGGAGATGTTGTCCGAAAGGAGTTCCGCTCCGACTCTGCTGGGGTGCAGGCCATCAGCGCGAAAAAGCCTAGGACACTCCCAGAAAAGATTCCAATTATTAACAAAGAGCAGTTTCTGTTCTTTACACCATGACAATAACCATTCATTTAAAGCAAAAAGTCTACTGAACCTTTCGTGTCCTCGTCGATACGTGGGAAGCGGTCCTGACATGATGATCGTTGTCGCGGGTGATGTGCTGCGCACTGTCTCGATCAGGCTCCTGAAGTCCCTCTTCAGTGTCTCCGTCTGCCGCAGCTTGGTGTCGTTAATCCCCGCGTGAAGCACGACCGCTCCGGTGCTCTCGTCGCCCTTCAGGATCGTGAGTATCTGCGCAGAAACATCGAGAACACGAGCAGCAGGGAAACAGTGAGTGTGCACTTTACCTTCAGCTAACGTAGCACGGATGTGCCGGACGATGGAGTCTCCGATGATCACA